TTTTTTTTTTTTTTTTTTTTTTTTTTTTTTTTTTTTTTTTTTTTTTTTTTTTTTTTTTTTTTTTTTTTTGTAGTTTTTTGCCATAGGATGTGTGCATTCACTGGAGAGAGAGAGAGAGAGGAAAAATGAGAAATCATCCTCCAGGGGGCAAATGGCCACACCACAACCCCTTTTCCTCCATTCTCCTCCTGGGATTGTGGGCATGCGTGCACATGTATGCCTGGCATGATTTTCAAGCCACCAGGTCCAAGACTCAAACTGCAGTCAACCATGTAAGAATTCAGTGTCTTAACCACCACACCACTTACTGGCCTCCATGAAGTCAATTTTTTTTTTTTTTTGAGAGGTTTTTGCTATAGGGTGCATGCACTTGCCAGAAAGACAGAGAGAAAAAGAGATAGAAAGCAAGAATCGCCGCCCAGGGGGGATGGCCATGCTTCAATCCCTTCTCCTCCATCCTCCTCTCAGGATCTTTGGCATGTACGCACACGCACCCAGTGTGAGTTTAAGCCACCAGGTCCAGGACTCGAATCGCGGTCGACTACGTGGGAGTCCAGCAACATAGCCATTATGCTAACTGCTGGTCCCCATGAAATCAAATTTTTGAGAGAGTGCGGACAACGTGTGTGTTATTCACCTCATCTTCTAGCATTAAGCAAAATGTGGGGCATATGGTTGAGGCCTGGTGAATATTTATCTAAAGAATTAATAAATAGACGGATAAATGGATAGCATGAATGTCAAGATGGATATGATAGACGTCAGATGAGTCAAGCATTCATTGTAAAATGATCTCTGACCTTACTTCTTTAAAAAAAATCAAAGTAAGAGTTTGCTATATGGTGCATACATGAGACAGAGAGAGACAGAAAGCGAGAAATCACCCCCCATTCTCCTCAGGATTTTGGGCATGCGCCCTGCATGAGTTTTAAGCCACCGGGTGGGGGAACCGCAGTCCACCGTGTGGGAGTCCAGCAACATAACCATTAGGCCATCTGCAGGGTGCCATGATCTCTGACCTTACTTTAAGCTAGAGTGAAGGGGGAGATAAGAAAGCCAGTGCTTACAGAACAATTAGTATACAACAAAACTTTTACAAGCATTCAATCGTTTCATTCTTTCAATAACCCTTTTGTTTTACAGATGAGGAAATTAAGTTTCAGAAAGGTTAAATAACTGACCAGAATTCAAACTCAAATCTTATTCTTTAATTCTCAGACCCAATGCTGTCCTACACACCCATGCCCATGAGTCACTTACACAAGAGGCTCTGCAAAACCCTCAGGCTCCTCAGAGCCCCGCAACGACACCAAGTGACTGACTCGGGAACACTGGGGACCAAAAGCATAGACTCCCTACCTCATTTGCTCTACCTCGTGCGTGGAGCTTCCTGATTTTATCCAAACAAAGAGTTCTCGGGGGAAAGAAAAAGAATCAGAAACCGCAGCACGAGACCACACTACTTTCCAAAATAAAGTCATAAGGTATGTTTTCCAGCCGTAGCACCATCAACGACTTACTGCCAAGTCATGGTCAGTTGCTTCCTTCCTTTTTTTTTTTTTTTTTTTTTAATGGCTTTTTTTTTTAAGAATTCTTTTATTTTACCTATTATTATTTTTTCATTTGACCAGAGAGAGACAAGAGGGAGAAAGGGAAAGTGAGAAAGCAAGTCAGCAGGCCCAGGTCTCAAACAGTGGTCAGCCACATGGGAGTCCAGCACCCTAACCACCAGGCCACCTGCTGGCCCCCAACACTTCCTTCCTTCTTACGCATGGGCGATTAGAAGACAGTGCTGAGATCCTACTATATTTTCTTTCTTTCTTTTTTTTTTATTAGTTCTTTAGGTTTGTTTGTTTTGCTTTTTGTTCTTTTTGGTTTGTTCACTTTTATTCATGATAGCGCATGTGCATTTGCACAAAAGAGAGGGAGAGACTTGGCCATGTGTGGATCCCCTTCCTTCCATTCTCTGGCCCACCAGGATTCTCAAGATGCACACAGTCCTGGGTGTTTTCAGGGCAAGCAGGCAGGGACTGGAACCAGCTCTATAGGTTCAACCTGCCCCCAACTGCACCACAGAGACTGGGACCTCGTATGCTATTGATTTTTAACTTTCAAGAGAGAAAAAAGATTAAATAAAAAAATCATCTAATGATGAATGAAAATGTCTGATAAAGTTCTAGATAAAGTTTAAGTCCGTCAGTGGCAGCAAAGTAGGGGGATGATAATTAGTTACTAGAGAGCTCAGCACGTAGTCATTGCTGGAGGCCTTAGCTGATGCCTGCCAACAGCAACTGAAATAAGGACTTCAAAAGCAAACCAAAGCCAGTCCCACGGCCTTACCTCGTAATAACTGGCACCTGACAGGATATATGGATGTTAGGAAACAGCCCTCAAGGGCATCGCCACTTACCGAGGAATATGTAGCAGGTGAATATACTGGTTCCCAAAGAATTCATAACTGGAAGCCATGCCACACTCGTCCATGACCTGTCCATTTTTATACCAAGTTACCTCTGGCTTGGGCTGACCTGATGATAAAGAAAAAGAATATTTTTATTACTTTATTTTTAGCAAAACATCATGAAGCTATGAACTAGAATGAGCAATAAGCAATAGGGATGAGCATGATAGATAGTCAGTTGGGGAATTGACAAGGTTTCCTCTTATTGATACAAGTGTGTTAGTGGGACTAGCAGTTGGCATAATGGCTATGTTGCTGGACTCCCATGTAGTCGACGACAGTTCAAGTCCTGGACCCGGTGGCTTAAACTCACGCCGGGTGCATGTGCGTGCGTGCCCAAGATCCCGAGAGGAGAATGGAGGAGAAGGGATTGTGGTATGGCCATCCCCCCTGGGGGGTGATTTCTCGCTTTCTATCTCTCTGTGTCTCTCTGTCTTTCTGGCGAGCGCACGTGCCCTAGAGCAAAAACGTGTTAGTAAGCGCCATTGAGCATGTTAAGTACCTAAAATTGGACTGGCAGAGGGCAGGAATGGAAAATGGAAGATGCTCTCCGTATCTCAGAGGGCTGTTAAGAAAAACGACTGGGATCAGCAGATGGCATAGTGATTACGTCGCTGGAGTCCTACATGGTGGACCACAGTTCAAGACCTGAACTGGTGGCTTGAAAATCACAGTGGGCGCACGCATGTGCATGCCCAAGATCCCAGGAGGAGAATGGAGAAGGGGTTGTGGTGTGGCCATCCCCCTAGGGGGTGATTTCTCACTTTCTTTCTCCCCGTCCCTGTCTCTGTCTCCCTCCTTTTCTCTGGCGAGCGCATGTGCCCGATGGCAAAAACCTCTAAAAAAATAAGAAAAGATCCAGTATTTGGAAATGAGGTGAAGATAAGGAAGGCATGTTTTCCAGGTCATATGGGATAAAGGCCTATCCAAGAACGTACTTGCGGGATAATATTGTACATCCAGAAACAATCTTGAGGAATGTACTTAATTTCACCCAGTGATTAAAAATTCTCAGATTTAGTGAAGTTATATATTAATTTGTAGGTTTTTATCTAATCAAGATGCAAATAATTTCCATCTAGCAGAGAACATAATCCTACAAGTTATAACTTTTTTGCTTTATAAAATATTATAAACTCAATCATTTGATCCTAGTATTTCTTTACTAAATCATGTATATTGGGGTCAGCAAGTGCTGCAGTGGTTAACGTGCTAGGCTCCCACATGGCCGACCACAGTTTGAGTCCTGGGCCTGGAGGCTTGAAAAGCACACCGGGCACATGTGCGTGCATGCTCAGAATCCCAGGAGGAGAATGAAGAAAAGGGATTGCAGTGTGGCCATTCCCCCCGGGCGGGTAGTGGTGGTGGTGGTGACTTCTCACTTTCTCCTCGTCTGTCCCCAGCAAGCGCATGCACCCTGTGGCAAGAATCTTAAAAAAATAAAGGAAAAGAAATGCCTGTATAGTTCTCCCACCGGATCTGTGGGGGATTGGTTCCAGGACTCCCTATGGATATCAGATTGCGAATGCTCAAGTGCCTTACATAGTAAGTAGCATTTGCATACAAACCACACACATCTCTAGATTACTTACAATACCCAATACAGTGCTTACACTTCACTTCACGTGAATTCAGCATAGCACTTGAAACATGGCGACTTCAATTTTAGCTTTTTGAAAATTTCTGAATATTTTAGGTTGTGGTTGGTTCCATCAGTCCGTGCAGGCTCGAGGACACCAACAGCTGCATACCTGGTTTCTGAGGCTTTAATGCTGTCCTATTCCTCTTCAACTAATAGGCCAAATAAAACCTCTGAGATGTTCATTTTATATTTGATAGAAATCTCTTTACCTTTCTGAAAATTATGCTTGAACAGTGCTCAAGGTTGAGTGTGTGTTGGGGTACAAAAGAGAGAGGAATTTGTTCGACGGATGAGCAAATGCGTTTTTCTGCGGGTAAAGGAGTTCAGAGTAAGGTTTCCCAGCTGGAATTGTGCATGGATGCCTGACGTCATTACAGAAATTGATGAAGCTTTTTTCCCCTCTGAAGGAATTCATCTTCCCCCGAGGATCATTAGCTGGGCGTGTTGCTAATTGGCTAATCTGGTGTAACCCCGGGGAATTTCACCCATTCTTTGGGATTTTTTTCCCCTCTTATTATAGAGCAAGAAGTTTTCAGTGTACACTAAAGAGCGTGGAGGCTGGATATCACTGAAAATTTATCAAAATTTGCCATAGACATAGGAAGGGAAACCCAGTTGTCTGGAAACAGTACCCCATTCTGAATCCAGCTCTGGAGCATTCTTGTGTTCTGGCTTTATTTATTTATTTATAATCCATTCTCCTCTCAGGATTTTGGGCAAGCATGCACATGAACCTGGTGTGATTTTCGACTCACCAGGTCTGGGGCTCAAACTACTGTTGGCCAAGTGGGAGTCCAGCACCTTAACCATTGCTCTACATGCTGGCTCCTCTTTTTTGATTTTTTTTTAAGTTTATTTATTTCTTCCATAAGCAAGAGACAGATGCCCTCACTAGGGTATTGATGCTGAGATTCATTCCCAGCCTCAGCCAGTCCCTGACCATAGGCTCATGAGCACCAGACAACCTCAGGGAGGTCTCTGGGTACAAATCCAGAACTCTCCCAAGTAGGTCAGCCTCCCAATGTTTCACCCCTGCACCATTGTCTAACTCCTTTGTCTTACCATACAGTATTTTGACAAGCCACCTGGGTCTGAGACTCTAAGGTAAGAACTCAGTGTTCTTCCAAGACCATGAAAAGGGGAAGCTAAAGGAGGTGCCAGGTGGTGGCACAGTGGTAACACAACTGGCTCCCTGGGACTTACTGAACATGTGGGCATGCCTGTGATCCAGGCCGGCAGAGACGGGGTGTGGACTGCAGCATGAGGACCCTGTAGGATGTCAATGTCTGTCTTTCTCTAAAGAAATAAATAAACTTTTAAAAAAATTTATTTTAATAAAGGTCAGGGGATGGCCTATAGCCCAGTGGTTAAGGGAGCCAGGTCCACATAGCCAACCATGCAGTTCAAATCCCAGGCATGGGAGCTCAAAAAACATACGGGGTGAGTGACCAGCAGTTAGCGTAATGGCTATGTCACTGAACTCCTATGTAGCCAACCACGGTTCAAGTCCCAGACCCAGTGGCTTAAACTCACACCAGGCATGTGTGCGTGTGTGCCCAAGATCCCGAGAGGAGAATAGAGGAGAAAGAGCAAGAAGTTTTCAGTGTACACTAAAGAGCGTGGAGGCTGGATATCACTGAAAATTTATCAAAATTTGCCATAGACATAGGAAGGGAAACCCAGTTGTCTGGAAACAGTACACCATTCTGAATCCAGCTCTGGAGCATTCTTGTGTTCTGGCTTTATTTATTTATTTATAATCCATTCTCCTCTCAGGATTTTGGGCAAGCATGCACATGAACCTGGTGTGATTTTCGACTCACCAGGTCTGGGGCTCAAACTACTGTTGGCCAAGTGGGAGTCCAGCACCTTAACCATTGCTCTACATGCTGGCTCCTCTTTTTTGATTTTTTTTTAAGTTTATTTATTTCTTCCATAAGCAAGAGACAGATGCCCTCACTAGGGTATTGATGCTGAGATTCATTCCCAGCCTCAGCCAGTCCCTGACCATAGGCTCATGAGCACCAGACAACCTCAGGGAGGTCTCTGGGTACAAATCCAGAACTCTCCCAAGTAGGTCAGCCTCCCAATGTTTCACCCCTGCACCATTGTCTAACTCCTTTGTCTTACCATACAGTATTTTGACAAGCCACCTGGGTCTGAGACTCTAAGGTAAGAACTCAGTGTTCTTCCAAGACCATGAAAAGGGGAAGCTAAAGGAGGTGCCAGGTGGTGGCACAGTGGTAACACAACTGGCTCCCTGGGACTTACTGAACATGTGGGCATGCCTGTGATCCAGGCCGGCAGAGACGGGGTGTGGACTGCAGCATGAGGACCCTGTAGGATGTCAATGTCTGTCTTTCTCTAAAGAAATAAATAAACTTTTAAAAAAATTTATTTTAATAAAGGTCAGGGGATGGCCTATAGCCCAGTGGTTAAGGGAGCCAGGTCCACATAGCCAACCATGCAGTTCAAATCCCAGGCATGGGAGCTCAAAAAACATACGGGGTGAGTGACCAGCAGTTAGCGTAATGGCTATGTCACTGAACTCCTATGTAGCCAACCACGGTTCAAGTCCCAGACCCAGTGGCTTAAACTCACACCAGGCATGTGTGCGTGTGTGCCCAAGATCCCGAGAGGAGAATAGAGGAGAAGGGATTGTGGCGTGGCCATCCTCCCTGGGGGGTGATTTCTCGCTTTCTATCTCTCTGTCTCTCTCTGTCTTTCTGGCAAGCTCACACATCCTATAGCAAAAAACCTCTCCAAAAAAAAAAAAAAAAAATACTGGGTGTAACGTGTGTTTGTAATGCCCCAAGTCTCGACAGTATGGAGCAACGGAAGAGACAGGATGGTAGTGTGGCTACCCCTACGGAGGGTGAAGGCTTTCTCGTATACCGTCTCTCTGTCTCTCTGTCTCTCTCTGGCAAGTACACTCAGTCCCTGGAATTTTTTTTAAAAAATAGAGAGAAAAGAGGTCAGAAAGGTAACAAGAAACATCAATGTGATTGTACCACCGTGGGACCTGTGCCCTGGGCCGCACTGGAGAATGCTCGGAGCCCCTCTTCCTCCCTCCGTCTCTCTCCCAGCCAGGCAACCTCTGTGCCAACGCCACAAATGAGCTTTTTGGCAACAGCGGGTTCTTCCTCCTTGCCTTCTCTTTTAGGTCAGTGCCTGAAAAGCTGTCCCTGGGGCTAGGAACAGACAGACCTGCATGCAGGAACACGTCCCTTTCCAACAGCTGCGTGGCTCAGCCTCTGACAGGCAACTGACTGAACCACCAAAAATGGGCTTCCCTGAAAAACCAGTAAGGAGCTTGCTGATAGTAATCCATGCTCGCCTGTCCTCATCAGTCTGTGCCCCTCTTACAGTGAGTTTTATTAGATTCTTTTTTAAGAAGCATTTCGTTGCTCCTTTAAGTGAGTGTGGCTTTTTTGAACAAAGTACCCGTATGCATCGGCAGGCCTGGAGAACGCATTCTGACCTCTCAGGCTCCAGTTTTCATGCAGACTGATCAGAGCTGACTGGTCCCCCCAATTTCCTAGTGGCTGACTGTTTTCCCCGACTTTGGGCAGTATAGATCTGAGCAATCAGCCAGAAATGAGACTTGCGTAGGGAAGTGGTATCTCGAACCTCGTGGGTGGTTCTCTTTTCTCCCTCCACTTGCTGGAAACCTTGTGTGAAAATCTTCCCCTTGTTTTTTGAACCTCCTTGCAGCTCGCTGGTTGAGAGCCGCCTTCCGAGAGTTTCAGAAGCTTGTGTCTGGCTGACGCGTGGGGACTGGCAGCCGCACTTAGGGCATGTGCACACACACAAACCACGCTCTGCCCTGAAGACCCAAGGTCAGCCTGTGCCTCTCTGCCTTTCTGTCAGCACGACAACTGACAAGCAGGACAAAAGCCAGCTCTGAGCCTGGGGTTGCTGAGTGCACAGTGAGGTCCAGCCACTAGACCCAAGATCAGGGTTTTGTTTTTGTTTTTGTTTTTGTTTTAAGGTTTTTGCTATAAGACAAAAACAGAGAGAGGAAAAGTAAGAAATCACCCCCGGAGAGATGGCCATGTTGCAATCCCTTCTCTCCATACTCCTCTTGGGCTTTTGGGCACACATGCATGTTGACCTGGTGCAATTCTCAAGCTGTTGGATCTAGGATACAAACCATAGAGTCGGCCATGTGGGATCCAGCTGCCCCAACCTCTGTGCCACCTGCTGGCCCCAGGAAGACCAGGTTTTATTACAACTTCTGCCAGTAAAGGACAGCCGTTTCTGAGTCTGGCTCTTCTCTCTGGGCTTCTAAAACAGGGATCAAAGGGCTGGCACAATGCATGATGGTTGAGGTGCTGGACTCCCACGTGGCTGACTGTGGTTCAAGCCACAAACCTGATGGCTTGCTTTCTCACTTTCCTTTCTCTCTCTCTTGGGTCAAATTTTAAAATAAATAATAATAACGAATCAACTTAAATAAATAATTCTTTTTAAGAAAGGGGGACAGTCAAGGGCAGAGTGTTTGTCAGCTTTCAGAAAATGCCACTGGTGCCTTCATGTTTTCGAGAGTATGAACATAATCCAGAAAAGAAAAGAGAACCTCCCAGAACCCGGAAGACAGACTCCCAGGGGAACTCCAGGCTTTTGCTTTTTCTCCTCTGGGCACCCTTCACCTCAGTTTTCGCTTTTCACTGCTCATCACGTGCTTGAAGAAGGCAAGCACAGGGGAGTCCGATAAAGCCAATTTGGGGAGACTGGTTCAAGGGTCATGAAAAGAGACCTCAATACCCTCCCTGAAGTGAAGTTACCCGTGCCATTCCTGAGGGCCTCAGGAAATTAATAGTGTATTTTCGGAAAAAATAACCAGGGGAGGGTTGCCTATCCCAGAATCATACCGGTAGCAAAGGAAAGAAAATCACTTGGATTCACAAAGTCACTAGAAGACATGCTCTAGGAAAAACTCGTAGCGAATGTAATGGCTTCATTAATTACTCAGAATAAATTTCTAAGGTAATTTTCCCAAATGACGTTTTCCTAATGCCTTTGTGAGTCAGGAAACCTGATCTGCCGGGAGACCTCGGGGCTATTAACCTCCTGATGGTTACCAGATATGATGCAGCGGAGCACGGTGTCTGACTTCTCAGGAACCTTCTGGGAAAGCAACGTAGATAGAAAACGGAGGGTGTGCCTCTGGGGCCCTCCCGAGTCTGTCATCCTTTCATGCCATATGAATCTGGAAAATAAAACGCCCAACGTCACCACACGTGCAGGAATTTCTCTGACCTTCCTAGGAATTTGAGAAACCATGTGGCACAGCTGTGCCCGCTGACTGAACTCAGGCCAGTGGGCAGACTGAAAGGCCTCCATGGCTTCCCCACACCCGTGGGGTGCTGGCACTGGGCTGGATATGTCCGTGTTGTAGCACTGTCCTGGTCACCGTAGGATGGTTGACAGCACCGACCTCTCCCCACCAGATGCAGTAGCACTCCCTACTCCCCACGCACAACAGTCAAAAATGTCTACAACACTGCCGGAGGTTCCTGGGCTCGGGAGGGGTGCCACCCTGGTAACCACTAGTCCTGTATGCCCAGGCAGACCCCAGGGCAGCTGGAGCCTGGACCGACAGGGAAGAGCACCAGCCTACGGTTACTGCCACCTCCTCTCTGTCCTCTTTCTTTCCCTCCTTAAAATCTTTTCATCTTGCCTCCAAAAACAGGAGTTGATTACATTCAAACAAATCTCTAGGTGTGTGATATTTTGAAATCAGGAAACTACTGTTTCTTCTCAGCGCTAGACAGTGCCCTGGGGGAGGGCCGTGGCAAGGCTGGCATTTTAAGTAAGCATGTATTCACTGATATGAGCAGGCCCCAAACGTGGATCGGCCACCAGATACCTTACCTCATTTCATCTCTTTTAAATGACCTACAGGAGGTTAATTTTATTTGCCAGAGGGCATGTGTACTTGCCAGAGAGAAAGCACCCCCATGAGCATGGTCACGCTGCAATCCCTTCTTCCTACTCCCTCCCATTGGGACTTTGGGTGCCCACGGTTGTGTGCCCAGCGTGGTTTTCAAGTCGCCAGGCCCAGGACTCGAACTGTGCAGTTGACCACGTGGGATCATATTAAGCAGCCTTAACCACCACACCACCAGTTGGCCTCAGGATGTTTATTAATGCCTCTTACGTTTTACAGATAAGGAAACAGAGAGTTTCACAATTTGTTCCAGATCATGCAGCCCCAGAGGCTGCTGCCTTGGGGACGCACTTCAGGGCAATGCGGTGGATACCTTTGACACCTTTAGTGTCTTCAGCACCTGGAGTCGGCAGGGCACAGCTTGTGAACAGGGGGCCACCCTAAGAATGCAGGTCCATCTGGATCCGGAGGACCTTTCCTTTCTGCTCACCCTGCAGGTGCACTAGCACCACACAGCTGAGCCCTCCTTGGCGGAGCCCCAACTTGGAGAGAGCACTGCTCCCTATCCAGATAGCAGCCGACTCTTTTTTTTTTTTTTAGGTTTTGGCCTTAGGGTGCATGCACTCACTAGAGTGAAAGAGAAAGACTGAGAGAGGGAAAGGGGGAAGGAAAAAAAAACAAAGTGAGACATCACCCCCCGGGGGTGGCCACACTGCAATCCCTTCTCCATTCTCCTCCTGGGATACTGGGCAGGCACACACATGCACCTGGCATGGTTTTTAAGCCACTGGGTCCGGGACTTGAACTGTGGTCAGCTATGTGAGAGTCCAGCCATGTAACCACTACACTACCTGCTGGCCCCCAGCACCTGCTTCTTATTTAGGGGAGCATCAATCACATACCTTGCAAAAGAAATCACACACACTCTGAGAAAAGGAAGGACCCCTCTGTGGTGTGATTAGCCTGACCTGAAGGGGCGGGTAGGACCTGCGGGTGGTGGATCTGGTTGGCCCAGAGCTAAAACAGAAGCCGGTGCTGAGTTCCTGGTGGGAAGGGCCGGTCTAACGGAAGGGAAACCCCTTTCCATGTGGATGCCAGTAACAGTTTCTTCAGCATTTAGAAACAATTCCTCCTCCCTCAGTTGTCTCTGATATCCCAAGAGACAGGCTGCCAGAGACAAGTTTCCTGATAACAGCTTAAGATGTCACCACCACCTAAAAACATCCCAATGGGCAAGACTGGCTCCATAGCAGAGCAGGGTAAGTCCTATGCATGGGGAGCCAGACCCCACTTGGCCGATTGCAATTTGAGTCCTGCTCTCACGGCCTGACAAACATGCCTGGTGAGTACATGCCCCAAATCCTGACCAAGTAGAAAAATGGAGGAAAATGAAGGAAAATGATTGTGGCATGACTATGCCCCCATTGGGGGGTTGCGTTCTCTCTCTCTCTCTCAAGCACATATACCCTAGACAAAAAGTGTTCACAAACTACCCTAACCCTACACAAAATACCCACACTCTGAATATTGGAGGAAAAGAAAAAAAAAAAAAACCTTAATTTAGGAGACCACACCTTTTTTTTTTTTTTTTTTTTTTGTGAAGAGATTTTCTTATAGGGCACATGCACTTGCCAGAAAGACAGACAGAGACAAAGAGACAGAAAGCAAAAAATCACTCCCCAGGGGAGATGACCACACCGCAATCCCTTCTCCTCCATTCTCCTCTCAGGATCTTGGGCACGCACGCACACATGCCTGGTGTGTTTAAGCCACCAAGTCCAAGACTTGAACTGCGGTCGACTACATGGAAGTCCAGCAACATAGCCATTACACCAACTGCTGGTCCCCTTCCTCAAGAAGAGTGTATCCAGGAAGCATATCCTTTAACCTGAGAGTAAACTAATCCCTCTAACAGTGGAAAGAGCTATGAAGTTGAAGGAGCTGCATGTGTTAGCATCGGAAAGGAAGAAAGCTCCTTTATGTGGGCAAGGTACACGGGAGAGAAATTTAGCAGTACGAGAGCTTCTGAGGGATATGTGGGAGATCAAGTAAGAGGAACTGAAAAGACTTTCAGAAATTATGTTTGTGATTGTGAATTGGATCCTTTTTAAATCATTCTTCTGTGAGTGAGACAGAGAGAGAGAGAGAGAAAGAGAGAGAGCACCCCCAAAGAGTCTTGATGTCACAGTTCATCTCCAGCCTTCAGTCAGCCCTGGATCACGGGTAAGCACGTGCTTACAGTCAGGGAGGTCACAGGACTTGAATGGGAATCTTCCTATGTGGTATCGCCTCGCCGTGTCATAATCCCACTGCACTGCTGCCTGGCCCCCACGTTCTTTACGTGAGACTTGAATTACATTTTCAATGATTTGTGGTTACAGGACTTCTTTAAATACAACTTATTTTTTTTTAAGAACCGTTTATTTAATTTTATTTGTCATTATTATTTTTTTAATTTGCTACAGGGCACACGTGCTCACCAGAGAGAGAGACAAAGAGAGAGAGAGGAAAAGTGAGAAAGCAAGCTGCCAGGTCTGGGATGCAAACTGGGGTCAACCAGTGGGAGTCCAGTGCCTTAACCACCACATCACCTGCTGGTCCCTAAATACGACTTGTTTAAATACAACAACTTGGGGGCACATGCCCAGTGCGTTTTTTAAGCTGCCAAGTCTGGACTCAGACTGCGTAGTCGGCCATGAGGGATCCAGCCTTAAGCTCTGCACCGCCTGCTGGCCCGGCGTGCACTTATTTACCCCATTTTACAGGTGCAAGCTGCTGAGGGAAGGTAGAGTTGTAGATTTAAGAGGAAATGTTTGTATTTCTCAGGCGAGTCCTATGGCCTAATGGTTATGGGCACTGGATCCCTCATATTCAACCTTGCAATTCGAATCCCAGCCCCAGTGCTTGACAAACACATCAGGCATGTGTGCAAGCATATCCTAAATCCTGGCAGGATGCAGAAACGGAGAAGGGATTGCAGCGTGACCACGTCCTTTGGCAGGGGTGGGGGGATCATTCTTCTCTCTGTTTCTCTCTAGTGAGTGCATGCGCTCTATGGCTAATTTTTCTTCAAGTCTTTAAAAACTTGATATTTATAATGTAAACATTTAGCATAAAGAATACACTCTAAGTCCAATTTTAATTTTTAAAATGGCACTTCACAATGAGTAGCGCAAATTGTATTTAGGCTTTCATCTACAGTCCCTGACTCAGTACAAGCTATGGAACAAGGACTGGCAAAAATATAAAAATATGGTTTCAAGGGAACCAGCAGTTAGCGTAATGGCTATGTCACTGGACTCCCACGTAGTCGACCGCGGTTCATGTCCCGGACCCGGTGGCTTAAAACTCACGCCGGGCGCGTGTGCGTGCGTGCCCAAGATCCCGAGAGGAGAATGGAGGAGAAGGGATTGCGGCGTGACCATCCCCCCTGGGGGGTGATTTCTTGCTTTCTGTCTCTATGTCTCTCTCTGTCTGTCTGGCGAGCACACGCGCCCTATAGCAAAAACCTCTCCAAAAAAAAAATTTTTTTTTTAAATATGGTTTCAAGTTGGAAACACGTGTTGACCTGGAGGATACACAACTGTTCTTCAATATTTCTTTAAAAAAAAAAACAAAACAAAAACAGCTTTTCGGACCAGCAGATGGCATGATGGTTACGTTGCTGGACTCCCACAAGGCTGACCACGGTTCAAGTCCTGGACCCGGTGACTTGAAACACATAAAATATTTTGCATACACAAAATCCCAAGAGGAGAGTGGAGGAGAAGGGCTTGCAGCATGGCCATACCCCTCCCCACACACAAGGTGATTTCTCACTTTCTATCTCTCTGCCTGTCTCTGTCTCTCTGGTGGAATACTTTTAAGAAAAAAAAGTATACTTTTTTTTAAGAAAAGAAAGTATTCCCCTGTAGGGTGTGGTCACACTGCAACCCTTTTTCCTCCATTCCTCCTCTTCTGTCAGGATTTTAGACTCACACACACACACACACCGAGCATGTTTTTCAAGCTTCCATGGCCGGCATTCAAACTGCGATCAGCCATGTGAGGTCTGGCTTCTGTAACTACTGCACTATGAAGCCAGGCCTTAAAAAACCAGCTTTAATGGGATATAATCCACATACCATACAATTCAGTCATGTAAAGTATACAATTCATTGTCTTTCGGTGTATTCAGAATTGTGCAACGATCGCAATGAACCTTCGCATATTCTCAGTACCCCCCAAAGAATCCCTGCTCACTCACATCGCTCAGCTTTCAGCTCTGTGTCTCCATTCCCACTCCACCCCCCCAAACATACACAGCCCATACCAATGAT